GTGAAAGAAGGCCACTTGGATGTTAAGGTTGATAACTCAAATGGCAACGACATTGCTTTTAGTGATGTTTATCATGTTCCGGGGTTGAAAAAGAATCTTGTGTCAGTTTCTCAAATCACTGACTCTGGGAGGTATGTTCTCTTTGGTCCTGACGATGTAAAGATCTTTGAAAATCAAAAGCATGTTGCAGCTGATGTCCTTTCTATGGGAAAAAGGAATGAGTCTTTATATGTTCTATCTGCAAGTGAAGCATATATAGAACGAACAGGCCAGAATACTAGTGCCTCACTTTGGCATGCTCGGTTAGGCCACGTTGGTTATCAAATGTTGCAGCAAATCTCCACGAAGAAACTGCTTGACGGTGTTCCCATGTTTTAGGAGGTACATCAAGATGTGGTTTGTCCCGGTTGTCAATATGAAAAATCTCATTGCCTTCCTTTTTAGAGATCAAAGAATTGTGCATCTACTTTGTTCCAGTTGGTCCATTCAGATCTAATGGGGCCAACAAGAACACCTAGCTATAGCGGTTGTCATTATGTGATGGTTATCGTGGATGACTTCTCACAGTTCACTTGGGTCTATTTTTTGGAACACAAGAGTGAAGCTTTCTCTAAGTTCACTCAGTTCAAGATGCATGTAGAGAAGGAGTTTGGGTTTATGATAAAATGTTTGCATACTGATAATGGGGGAAAGTATCTGTCATATGAGTTTTCAGATTATTGCAGTGAACATGGAATTCGTCGACAAATGACATGTCCAAAGACCCTGCAACAAAATGGGGTTGCTGAACGAAAGCTGGGGCATCTCACCTCGATGAGCTTGTCATGGTTGCACGAAAAGAACCTTCCCAGAGAGCTTTGGGAAGAAGCTATGCAGTGTGCTTGTCATGTGATCAATAGGTTGCCTCTATGGCCAGGTACGAAAAAATCTCCTTTTGAATTTTTATATAATAAAAAGCCAGATGTGAGTTATTTTCGGGTGTTTGGTTCGCTTTGTTATGTTCACGTATCTAAGAGTAGTCGAACCAAACTAGACCCAAAGGCAAGAAAATGTGGTTTTGTTGGCTATGACTCACACAGGAAAGGTTGGAGATGTATGGATCCAGAAACAATAAAGATTGTTGTCTTTGGAGATGTGGTATTCGACAAGGGGTCGACATACTACTCTAGCAAAAATTTCAGAAATCACACAAGTGATCTAGAGTCCTTTTCTAGTGACCTTGATTCCACAGTAGTAGGGAGGAATGATATCTTATCTGAAGAAGCTGTTCCACAAGATGAGATTATGGTTCCAAGGTCAAAAAGGTAGCAAAGGCAACTAGATTATTTAAGCTATTATGAGGTTCAGTTAAATCATTTCACTGTAACTTCTTGTTTTCTCATGGGGGTTAGATGTGAAGATGAACCTAGGTGCTACAATGAAGCTCAAGGAATTGTTGAATGGGAAGCTGCAATGTGTGAAGAAATCAATGCTCTGCATCAGAATACTACATGGGAACTTGCACCAAAGCCAAAGGGTGATGAACTAGTTACATGTAAGTGGGTTTACAAGTTGAAAAGAAAGGTTGATGGCACTGTCAATAGGTATAAAGCTCGCCTTGTTGCACGTGGTTTTTCGCAACAATATGGGTTATATTATGAGGAGACTTTTAGCCCTGTTGTTAAAATGGTAACAGTTCGAACAATCATCTCTTTGGCTACATACAAACACTGGAATTTATGGCAACTCGACGTACAGAATGCATTTCTCTTCGGTGAGTTAGATCGTGACATTTTTATGGAGCAACCGCAAGGTTTTGTTTTTAAGGAGTTTCCTGATCATGTGTGCCGACTCAAGAAAGCGTTATATGGTCTCAAACAAGCTCCACGTGCCTGGTTTGGAAAGATCGCTCAATATCTTACATTTTGTGGTTTTAAAGTTTCAAGTTCAGATCCTAGTTTATTTGTTAAGGCACAGTCATCGATGTACACGATGATTCTTCTTTATGTAGACGACATGATCATTACCAAAGACAACAATGCTGAAATTACAAGGCTTTGAGATGATTTGTCTGTTCGATTTGAAATGAAGAATTTGGGTGAAGTTCAATGTTTTCTTGGCTTAGACGTAGAAAAGTCAAATGGGTATTTTATCTCTCAAAAGAGGTATGCAACAAGTCTTTTGAATCGTTTTGGCATGAAAGAATCAAAATCTATGGCTACTCCTATGGAGCCATGTCTCAAGTTACAGAAAGTTGAAGGGGAGAACAAAGTTTCGTCAACTTGTGGGTAGTTTATTCTACTTAACTATATCAAGACCTGACATTGCATACTCTGTAGGAGTTGTATCTCAGTTTGTGGACAAGCCATGTGTTGGTCATATGATTGCAGCAAAGAGGATCTTATGCTATGTGAAAGGAACGTTGGAGTTTGGCTTGATGTACCAGCAGGATGTTCAGTTTTCTCTACAGGGGTTTGTTGATGCAGATTGGGCTGGAGATGTAAATAACAGACGATCAACTACGGGTTATTGCTTCAGCACAGGTTCAGCCGCCGTCTCATGGTGCAGTAAAAAGTAGAATATAGTTGCTATTTCAAGTACAAAAGCGGAATATATGGCAGCAACCATGGCATCTCAAGAGTGCATCTGGCTTAAGCGATTAATTCAAGACATAACTGCTGCATTGGAGTATTCAGTCCCCATTAAATGTGATAATGAAAGTGCAATCAAACTTGTCGGAAACCCAGTTTTTCATGCTCGCACAAAACACATTGAAGTTCATCATCATTTTGTTCGAGAGAAAGTATTAAGTCAAGAGATTAAGTTGGAGTACATAGGCAGCAAGGACCAAGTTGCATATATTTTTACTAAAGCTCTTGCTAGAGCTACGTTTGATAAATTTCGAAGTGATCTTGGTATTATTGATCGTAAGCATGCACTAGGGAGGAGTGTCAAAGTTTAGTGCATTTTACTGGCCTATTTTTTAGGAGTAGTTGAATTTATTTAGGAGTCCGCTTTGTTGATTGAGTCTTAGTCTGTTATGTTGAAATAAGTCATCATCAGATTGTTGAGATATTCTAGGAGTTTGTTATTGTGATTGATCCAAGTTAGTTGAGTATTTGTAAAAAGCAACTTCTATAAATTAGAGTCCTGTAACTCCAGATTTTTTATCACTTCAACAACGTTATTTGTTTTCTTGTGTTCAAATAAAATTTCTTCCTTCTCTCATTTATTTATTTCTGAAACAGTTCATTTTCTTACTTAAATTGAGCTATTAAGTTTTTTTTGAGAGACATATATATAGATATAGATATATACATATATGTATATGTAAGTGTGCGTGTATATGTGTGTGTGTTAGTACGAAAACATACTTGCAAAAAAAAAAAAAGCCTGTGTGCAAGTGAACAAAAATAAGAGTTCTCAGAATACCCAGAAAATTCATCCTGGGGGATTTCAATTCAGTCCAAGAAATAGATCATTTCAGTGTTTATGAAGGCTGCAAATTGCAAAGGTAAGAAACGTGAACTAGAACATGCAATAAGATCCATCAAAGGCTTCAATCAAGCAACCAAAACTACATGGTTTCTTTTTCCTTCAAGAATGAATGAACTGATAGAACAATCCTCCACTTAGCAAATTAGGTCAATTTTTTAGTTTTTGAGGGAAAACTATGGTATAGACAAGTATTGGAACCTCTTTTGTGCCTATTACTTTGATGCTTAACATTACCTATTTGTATAACTATCCCTCTAAGAAACCTCATATAGGCAAATTCTCTCATGACTCAACTATGAGTGATACATAAGCAGTTGTGAGTCCACATAACCATCGCAAAGCACAGCATATCATGGCAAACCAGAAACCGAAATCAAAATTTCAACTTGAAAGCATAAACGAAACAATTTGGTTTTTTGCCGCGCATTTGTTATCATCCCTGCTGCATTTTAGGTAGAGAAGAAACTTTGGTTTTGGAGAGATTGCATTCTAGCAATAAAGCATCAGAGCTTGGAACCAAATTTTCATTGGTACATACATAGTATTCCCAAATCAAGAACTGAAAGAGGACTGGTCCAAACATATTGTACTGTATTTAAGCTGCAACATGGGAGAAAAAGATCATGGATTACTTCAATTTTGTGTATATCAAGGACCATCTAAAACCATGTCCATTTCATTAATCATTCTTCTTTCTTCGTTTCGGGAAGAACAGGAACTACTGCACACAAAAATTGATCATCAATAAAGAGCAGTTACTAAGGTTTACAATTTAAGCCAATGATAAAAAGCAAGATGGCTCTAGGCTGAAACATGTGGGATAACATTGATAATCAAATGTGATCCAATCAAAGCTGTTTGGTTCTCCGTTGGTTGAGTTCCAGTATTACCCAAATCAGTGTGTTGCATTGTTTGGCTCCCTCTGAGGTTGAGCTTGTTGGGATTTAACATGATTTAAATCCACTAACAAACACACACAATCGAAGAACAAATCAAGAATATAAAGTAATAAGAAACAAGAAAGAACAAGACACAGATTTTACGTGGTTCGGCAATTTGCCTACGTCCAAAAAACTGCAGGGATTTCACTATTGAAATAGTTGAATACAGAGAGCGGCTGTACAATCCACGATTAACCCTAATCACTAAAACAACAGGGTTTATATGTCCTACGCACTGGGTTGTATAACGGGCCCAAAAAAATTTTTCTCGGGGGCAAGAGACTTGTCCATGAGCGATACGGCTTGGGCCTATTGGCCCAAGCCTTCGCTCCATGAACTAAACCTCATAAAAATTTTTTATTAAAAAACTATACAACATTACTTCGGGTCGGGTCATCATCCGGATCACATATACAAACTAGACTTCATAAAAAACAACAACAGAGCTCAATACCAGGATCAGTCAAATGACCAGTTTCAGCAACTTGATCCTCTCTCAACCTCATTGCATTCTCACTCACATGCACACTTTCACTGAAACAGTTGCTTTCTCCCCCACATACCGTATCACCTTTCCAAGAATCAGCACTTCCTCTGCAAATTGGACAAATGTGTCTTCAGAAGCCAAGAATCCACACACTTGGCATGAAAACTATGTCTGCATAGAGGCAATAGCCTACACTTATCACCCGATTTGAAGTTCTCCAAACACACTGCACAATCCACAGGACTACTTCCCTTTGATTTCACTATGAAATCAAAGCAAGGAAGCTTCTCTAGATCGTCTTGAGACATGCTTGTGTTCCCAAAACCACCCCTCTCCACCATATCACTGCCACCAAATCCTCTCCTAAACGCCCTCCCAGCAATACAAGCATGAATCACAACCAAAACTCCAATGCCCACAAATAAAAATATCACTGATATGAAAATTGCCATGACCATAAACTGTGTAGCAACACTCAAAACTGGTTTACTCATCAAAAAAAAAAAATTCCATTCACTTCTCAACAATCATTCCCAATCCCAAAACTACAAAGGTCACGAACACCTGATCGCAGTTAAAATCCGAAGTCATAGACAAAGAACATGATCATTCACTGCACATTCACTACATAAATAAACCCCAGTTTATGTCATCAAGACTTGGTGCAAAAATGGAAAACTTAAGATCAACTTACACTCGGTGTGGAATTGCTGCCACGACCCAATGAGATTTAATTCTTTATCACTTCGATTCGTCAAAAAAATAATAATAATAATTTAAAATCAACTTACAAAAACTTTATTTGGCAAGAGAAATTTGGAGGGTTCATTTTTGCAGAGGTGGTGATGAATTAAGGTTGCAAAAGGTAGGATGGTTCTGTCTTATAAAGGGGCTATAATTTCCTGATAGCATAAGCAGCTAACTAATAGGACTTATTGCTGTAGAAGAAAGAAACATTTACTGTTTAGCGGGGATTGCGTTAGCCACTCTTATGGAGAGGGTGGGAAAAAAGAATCAAATTCACAGGTACAGACAAGAAATATGAAGATTGAGAGATCGAACTTTTCTCTTTTATCTTTTTGCTTTTATCTGCTTCCAGTTTGGCAGGTTTTTGGAGCGGCAAAATATTCTGTCAAGCAAGGACTGAACGGCCTCCGAACGAAGGGGGGGAAAAAATGGAAATCAATTATTGGATCAAATCTCAATCCATAGGGTCAAACTATGACCTGAAAAACAAATTATTTTTTAATACTATACCTCTGTTTAAAACTAATAATTACTTAATTAGAAGGTATATTGTAAAAAAATTAATTTATTATTTATTTTATTTTATTTATTTTAATTGTTTATTTTTCAGTCCCTAGTTATTTTTGTAGAATGGCAGGCCAACACTGCGAATTCATCATCTTGTGCTTAATTAATAACGCAGGGGCTTTCATTTTCCAATGACTTAAAGTATATTATAAAGAGCGAATTGTACTTTACAACCAAAAAATTTAAGAATTTTTATTTTATACTCTCAAAGATTAAATTTCTTATATTGTGCCATCAATATATTAAAAGTGTTGCAGTCTCGTTCTTCCGTTAATTTTCATTACTAATTCTATCAACATCAATGGCGTGATTTTTGAGAAATAAGTAATGAAAAGATTACATTACAAATTTTTAATATATCAAGTGCGTAATATGAAAAATTTAATCTTTGAGGGTGCAAAGTTAAAAATCAATAAAAAAAACCCCTCATTTTATCATCACTGTAAGCTCATTTCTCAAAAATAAATATCCTTTTTTTTTCACTAGTGGAAATAAAAATCATTTGAGAATGTATAATCGCAAGTGATAATGTCATTGGTCGACTATCAAGTTACAATAACATAACCTTATCTTTGCGTCAAACCATGCAACGATAAACATAAAGTTTTAACAAGAATTGCAATACAAAAGGATATGAAAATGGCATTTTTGAAGCAGCAAAAGGTAAGAGAGCATGCTCCCAACATACTACCTGAACAATGAGAACCAAGAAGGCAAAAAGAGTTCCTGTTTTCCTTCAAATATCAACGGTATTTCAAATCAACCACAAAACATGTTTCAGTTGAAGCAGCAAACGATGTTCCTTTTCCTCGTTCCACAAACTAATAGTAGCATAACCTGTCTAAGAGCATCTCTGGAATTAATTTTCTCCGTTACATAATGCATAAATGGGAAAAGGGTACTTTTTTTCACCTGTAATATATCTTCCCAATGGATGCAACAGATGAACCACATTAAGTATTTCAAGGTTCGAAGAGGACGGCAAGTACATGCGAAAAAATTATCTCAACTGGGAAATCAAGCTCTGGATCAGACTTCTGATTGGATTATGTTTACAGGCGTATATTACCATCATGCATCCATCACAAAGTGATTTACAAGTAGCTATAATCTGTAGACCATATAGAAATTGTTATAGGATTCTAGCACAATTACATGCTTCAACTGCTTTCCAAACATCTCAATGGTTTACTGTATTTACAAGTAGAAGATAGAAACCAAACCAAAATAGAGGAACAGGAAAAAGAAAATATTACTCACTAAAACTCCATATATGTTTGCGTATATTTATGCTAGGAACCCAAAACAAGACTCTCCCGAGCAATGCTTGTCACACGAAGGACAGCCTGAGCATTTAAAGGTGAGAGCTTTGATTGGCAAAAGTGCTCCCAAGTACTCCTCTCTGGGTCCTCAGGTACTGAAGTTGGTGTGAAGACATTTGATTTCTCATATACAGCCTGCAGCTCCAACAGGAGAATACGAGCAGCCTCCCTGGACTCAGGAAGCCGGTCACTAAGCTGGGTTGCCGCTATTTGGATCAACATGTCAATCCCATATGCTTTGATTCCGTCCACTCCCTGTAGAGCAAGCAACACGACAAAGAATTACTCAACCAAACTGATAATTGGCATCAACCGACAATAACATACAGAGCCCATAGATTCCGTTTGTATAGACGGTGCAAATTGCATTATCATCTCGAAAAATTACACAATATGCATAAACGCTGTAGTTAAAACTAGGAAAGATATCGCTCATCTATCATACCTATTGCAAGATTTATTTTACTTTAGTTAAAGTATGGGTACTGCAGTAGTTCTTTTTTCAGTGATCTTCTTCCTGAAGGTCTTCCCATTAAAGGCGCCCACAACTAAAGGTGAATACCCAACAGTTGCTAGTTTGATAGTCTAAATGGGAATTGCATAAGTAATAGGATTGGAAAAAGAACACATACATTAAGAATCTTGCTCTCTTACTTTCAGCAGTATTAATGCTAAGTTGGGACTAGGGATTTCTGGAATGCAAATTTACTTCAAAAGGGCAGGGGGGGAAAACCCAAAGAAAGGACAAGGCATCCTACTCTAGCGTACAAATAGAAAAGGTTAAAGATTACAATTCCACGAGAGTCTGATTCCTTAATAGTTGATTTGAGAAGAAATGCACTCTAAAATGTAGAAAAGAGCAGAAGAGTCTCTAAGGATTCAGTATAGGACAATTTGTGAAGGAACTGATGACCAATGCAAATGTTACAGTGATCCAATTCAATCAGAATCGTGAACTCAGTATCACAATAAGAACTATTATCACACAAGATGTGTCAAATATCTTTATACCCCAAAATTAGAAGACAATCATTGGGCCATCTGATATGTAATCTCCATTTTTGGAAAAGTAGGCAACATACAGTTCCCACATGACTGCACAAGTGTTGATGGCTAAACAATAAGACAAACTTGTAGCAATTAAGCCATGTTGGGATCATAATTGAGCAAGAATAGGGTTGACATTACTCATACAAAAGTTCAAAAGATTTGTAAAAGACTAGGTTAGTTTTAGTTCAAAAGAATTGTTCACATTACTCACGAATTAGGTGAGTATTAGTATCTTGTTTAAAAGTTCTAAGAACGGAAGAGAGGATATCTTCAAGAGGCTGCCATTTCGTATGCATTTACTAGTCTTTCCTCTCACTCTTTCGGGAGCTAAGTAGGGCGTGAAGAGGAGATTTTACTGTGAAAATCAGCCACAAGAAGGATAAAGTATGCCATAGACCGACTTACATTCTATGTGTTCTTCAATAAAGAAAAAGATGGGAAAAAAAAACACATGCACCCAGATAGGGGACTATCAATCATCAAAATGAAAATGATAGCAGTTACTGCAAGTTTCTTACCAGTCGTGGTACACTCCTACAGAAGCACATTGAAGCCTTTGCTCGAATTCGAGGATTTCTGTTCTTAAGATAAGGTTGCAACTTCGGTAACAACAAAATGGGGGAAGCCCAAGTAGTCATAGCTATTAAAGCTCTCTCAGCTGCCTCACACACAAATCTTTTGTCTTGTGAAGACTTGAGTAGAAGTTGTAGGAGCTAAACCAAGGGCATTTAATCACATTGAAAGGAAGAAAAAAATATGAGAATTATTTTAAAGCATGAAAATGCCATCCATTGCAATAATGAATCCAAAAGCAACAGTTGGAAAAGGAAAAATAAGTTACCATCAGGTCCAGTGAATCGATTATGTCATCACTATATGCATTGAAAATGTCTGCAGAGGTCATAATTGCAGTTTTACAAACAGCGCTTCTGGGATTCTTCAGGGACTTCACAATGAGAGGGATCACACTTTCCCTGTACATCAAAATATGGTTACAATGAATGTGACAGGGAACAAATTGATCAAGTACTGTTTTTTGAAATTAGGACTTACAACATGCCGACCATAGCTTCCTTGTGAAACAGTGACAATCGTCGAACATTATTGAGTGCCTCACATACCAAAACCCAGTCCTTAGAGTCTAGTCCATCTAAGAGTGCCTGAAAAAGAAAAAAAACACATGATATTACACATTTTGTTCAATTATCTGAAAATTAAGCAAACATAGTCGGCACAGCTGAATATCGTGAGTTGATATTGAAAAAACGTAGTCTACCTTGAGAGCCTGTTCCACATCTTCTACATCCTTCAAATTCCCAGATTCAATGTATTCCACTTCAGAGTTTCCCACTTCAACCCCAGAGTTCGGTTTTTGACATCCATTGACAGGAGTTTCAACCAGACGGGAAGATTCGTTTCTTTGCCTTTCTTCAAGAGTTTCATTAGTGTGCTTCGCATGAGACTTATCATAGCTCCCATTAATGGAGCTTTCATTCTTCTTCTCAGATCCAAGTGGGATATTGAGATCTCTGAGAGCTTCACCCGACATTACTATAGAGTTTATAAGCCTTAAACATAGAGGAGAATGATTCAACCTATACAATCTCAAAAATCTATTAATATTGACAAACATATACAGAAGATTAAATTAGCAAGGAGATGGATGCAGGTCAAATTTAAATATTCAAACACAAGCTATACCATTACAAATATGCCATAACTTAGAAAGCAAAGCATCAAACTCCACCTTCCCAAAATGCAGCTCTTCATGGAAAAAGATACACTCCACATTCGCATGAATCACAATG